AGTAATTTAAGACTAAAAGCTTGAGTAATTAATTGTTAATGATTTTGGAATACAAACTAAGAAGGATAACTATAGCTTTAGGCTATAATCTCAAGGTAGCTTGAGGCGGCTACTCTTATGAAGAACTCACTTAATTTCTGTATAATACAACTTCTAAGCTTCTACTACATTTATACTCAAGCTTCTAAGGAACAATTAGCCTTCATGTGACTACTTAACCAAAATAGCTAAACCAACCTAAGACATTGCTACTGCTTGTTGCTTGCTTTCCCTAACTTCTCCTTAATGAGTTTTGTCACTTTGCTCTTTGTTGCTTGTTGACTCAAGTTTCCCTTTTCTTTGCTTCTGCTGTCCCCTTCTCATCGGTTGCTGCTTCTTGACTGTTGACCTTCATATGGTAATCCATCACACACCATTTGCTCAGCTAGGGCTATATAATAGAGATTATTTATGGTCTACAACTAATATCGTTGTATGATTTAACATAAATCATAGAATAGCAAATTTTAGACCGTCACAGAAAAACTTTTATGTGATTGATGACTTTTTTAATCATAAATGACTATTGTAACTTCGATGTTCTCCTGGAACCCAACTATAAGGTAAAAATCAATTTCTAACTAGGAGATGAAGGCTACAACTACAGAAATTCATGTAGGGTTATTCAAGTTCAATATTAGCTAGGTAACTCTGTCATAAATCTGGTAGATTAAATTCATGGTGTAGGCCATCTAGCCCCCTCTCTTCCTTTCCCAGGATATTGATTGGGATATATATGTTCAATTGTCCATGGTGATTGAAAATGGATGCCCTTCCAGTTTGCAATTTGTATAAATCCAGTTTGCAATTTGTATCAACGAGACAAGGGCAACTAAATGCCCCTTCTGTTCGGGTCTTACAGTACATGGTTTCTTGCTTTCCGTTTTCTTTTTTAGATGGTTGGATGAGTTATTTTACTCAATCCTTCTGCTGCTTGTATGACACAGGGAACATATCTGCATCATAAACAAATCAAGGCGGCACAGGGGATCAAAATTTCTGCACAGGTGATTTTTGTTAGTTTTTTTGGAATTGAAACGCAACTTGAATTGCTTTAAGGCGTAAGCTACATTGTGAATGTCATTAACATGTCAAATTATGAACTTTTGATTTGATACTCCTCCACACAGGGTCTTGAGCATGCTATTGCTGGGACTGGCTTGTATGTTGTGGGACCTGATGATGACCTTGAGGAGATTAAAAGATCAGCCATGGAAGACATGGAGTCTGTGTTGAACCGGATAGAGAAGACTGGAGAGGGGGTCTGTGTGCAAGCATCTACCCTTGGATCATTGGAAGCATTGTTGGAATTTTTGAAATCACCAGCTGTAAGCATTCCTGTTAGTGGCATAAGTATAGGCCCTGTGCACAAGAAGGATGTTATGAGGGCAAGTGTCATGCTTGAGAAGAAGAAAGAGTATGCGACATTTTAGCATTTGATGTCAAGGTCACAGCCGAGGTAGAGGAATTTGCAGAAGATACTGGTGTTAAGATATTTAAGGCTGATATCATATATCATTTGTTTGATCAATTCAAAGCATACATCGATGGTATCAAGGAGGAGAAGAAAAAGGAAGCTGCTGAGGAGGCAGTCTTTCCTTGCGTACTCCAGATTATGCGCGATTGCGTATTCAACAAAAAGAATCCCATTGTCTTGGGGGTGGATGTTATTGAAGGGGTTCTTAAGGTACGTTTTAATTTCGATTTCTTTAAGAATTATAGGAAGAAAAAACACATACTTCTGGGATTTCTAGTTTTGTCATTTTGTGTTGAGCTAAGGTCATTGTACATGTTTATCTTTAGTGTAAAGCAATATTGGTGCATTTGGTAGTGTAGGAGGTTTCAATAAGATTTTTTAGAAGCTCAGAATATTGAATATGCAAAAGCAAAATTTATCGCTCTTTTTTTTGAATAAATTGAACAATAAAGCACGAACTTCCGGGTTTTCTGATTTTGTCATTTGATCTTGTGTCAAGCTAAGGCCATTGAACATGTTGTATTTTGAGTCTTAAGCTTTTTTTGTGCATTCAGTAGTCAGGTTTCTGTAGGATTTATCTGAAACTTCATTATAAAGCTATGTTTTCTTGGTAAAACTGCCTTTGTTTGGTTCTTGATACTCAAGCTTTGTACACTATGAATTTCGATGTTTTCCCTTGTTGGAATCCTTCTGTTAGGATAATTTCAATTAGTTTCTTGTGATCACTGTTCCCAGTCGTGGCTGCTAAATATTATAGTGAAATTTATAACTGTGAATTAAGGTGTGATTTTACTTTCTTTAGTTCTTTGATTACAAAGGGAAGAGATTTTAAAATTGATTTAAGAGTTAAATTGTAATAGATTAGCATTAGGGAGGGCAATTTGGGAAACTTAGTACTTTTAGGTTAGTAGTCACTTGACCTTAGTATAAATAGGGGTAGTATATGCAGTAGGATGGCATGTAAATTGTGAGGAAAAATGTTGAGAGTAGTAACCTCAAGTTACTAGGAGAGTGATAACCTAAAGTTATCAAGAGAGTGATAGACTTAAGCTATTAATCTATCCCTTTTGTATCCAATTTCAGCCATTATTTATCAAAGTATCAAGCTTTTATCTCTTAATTAGTCTTTAAATCAGAAAATACTAAGGCAGTCCATAACATAAATCCTTTCCTTAGAGCATTAGTTGTAGATCATTGTCGAATTATTCGTTCAATAACTTTGGATAACTTGAGCCTGAACAGCCTGTCTTTCATTTATCTTCACACATGTCAATTAGTAGTAGTTGTTGTTTTTGTTGTTTTTTTTTTGTAGACTTATTGTATTGGTAAATGATCATAAACAGTGTCCATCATGATGTGAATTAAGACTCTATCTTTGTAGCTTTATTGGACTTATTTTAGGTGTTTTTGGCCATAAGTAGGTTCCAAACTCGGTTATTTTAGCTCATTAACAAATTTTCTAGCATGGTTTTTTTTAATAGGTTAATATAGTTTCTTAACTTCATTTTCATCTTGGAGTAAGGAACAAGGCTACGTTGGATCTAAATAAAGAAGTAAATATAGGTCTAGGGCTGTACATTGAAGGGAGATTGATTTTGTCTTTATTATTGAGTTGAGCTTATAATTATTTTACGCTGATTGCTTGTGAGAATTAATATCATCTTTTAATTTTTACTCGTTTATTTTATTCATAAATATACGCATCATGCCATGTAAGTTTTTGTCTTCTAGTTGTTTCAATCCTTTATCGGCGTGTACTGATTGTGGGTTTGGATTGCAGATGGGAACTCCAATCTGTGTTCCATCAAAGGACTTTATAGACATTGGGCGTATTGCTTCCATTGAAATTAATAAAAAACCAATTGAGTCAGCGAAGAAAGGCCAACAAGTTGCCATTAAGGTCTGTTTTTGTTTTCCCTTTACATTTTACTGTTAATTTATTTGCAGCTTTTTTTTTGGGGAGTGGGGGGACGGAGGATTTGTCTAGTTATTTAGCAGTGATTCTCGTGAAGGTAGGTTTTTTTTGGTTGACTCATTGAGAGGTGTAGAAGTTTGGATTCTTGGAAAGAAAAAACAAAATATGATTTCAAATTAGGATGTTTAAGAGGACAGAATTAACAATTGTTCGCATGAGAACTCTGCTACAGAATGGTTTTGGCTTAACTTGATGATTGAAAAAACAATGGCATAAGGAATGCCAGAGGAGGTGAAACCTAAGTAAAGGTGTAGTTGTTTTATGTTCTGGTTTCTTAAGATTATATGCTTTGTGATTTACAGATTGTGGGTACCAATCCTGAAGAGCAGCAAAAGATGTTTGGAAGACACTTTGATATCGAAGATGAGCTTGTTAGCCATATTTCCAGAAAATCTATTGATGTGCTGAAAGCTAATTACAAGGCGAGTAAATATCTTCATTTGTTACGCATTCATCGTACCAACATGCATGCTGATGCTAACTGAAATCATCTTTTGCAGAAAGATGAGTCTATGCCTAATGAGAATTGGAGATTGCTTGTTAAATTGAAGAATCTGTTTAAGATACAGTAAGCTTCCATTGCTGCTCCTGTACTATTCCGACATTTTTGTGTAGATAAGCGAGTCTTACATGGAGCTGAAGTTTCAACTTGAAGTACAAAGTTGGTTGTTGAAGACCAACTCAGGTTCTCTTCTTGGCCTGATTCTCTTCCCATTTTTATTAATGGCTGGAGATATGCTCGCTGTCATTGGAGTTTTGTCACCCTTCAACTGTATTGCATGCTGACAGTCATTTAATCCTGCTACATCAAAAGCTAAAGGGGCTAGATGCTGGGAACTGATTGACGTCATTTTTGGCATCGAGACAGAAATAGATATAACTCTGATCAATACCTCAGGCATTTGCCTAGTATTTTTTTTTAAAATCTTTTGCAGTTTTCTGGATAGAAGAGGAGGGGGGGGGGGGGGCGTTTATGAGAGATTTACATATTATGATATTTGCTGTTCGATATTTTTGAATAACTATTTGCTTTAGAATAAAAAATTACTTTCACGAAGAATCATAGGTTCTCTTGGCTAAACATTATCAACCAGTCCCCTGCTACAATGGCACGATGATTACAGCACTAATTTTAAAGGAAAAGTTTTAGGAATTAATACAAACAATATTTTTCTATAAACAAGACAAAATGGCTCAGGCGCAAGTGCGCAACCAGCCCATTGTCCTTATCGCCTGTTCAGGAGCCAAGACAATAGGTCTTTGCTACAACAGTTACAGCCCTATAAATAAACATTAGTGTGTAGCTAAGAATTTGCGGAGCATAGACTCACAAATGAACTCTATACTCTGACATCTTCAGACCAACCCACTATGTAACACCTTACTCGTGTACAAGCCAAAGTAGGCAATCTAACAAGTTCTGCAAACATGAACCCCTTTGTTTTTAAGTAGAAAAATACTACCTCCGTTAACATTTACTTGCAACTTTGGAATATTTTATGTCTCTCAAATAATACCCAAAGTAACAAGTAAATGTTAACGGAGGTAGTTATAAATTTTGCAGTATAAAAGGGTAACAAGTACTTTTAATAGTCTCACAACTAGGAATTTGTGAATCAAAATTCCGTAATTTCTTGACCTCTACCTACTTGAGTCCAATACCATTAATACTGCTATATAATTTTCAGCTTGTGACAGTCTGACAAATCTACACTGTTTTCAGTGGTGAAGTTTTGACAGCACAAATAATATGTTGAGCTATGGCAATGTTCTTGGGTCAAATCTCAAGGTATTTTATCTAAATAATGCGTTGCTTCCAGAAATACATGTGATAGACAACTAGGAAACCAGGTCTTTAACTACGTAAAAGATTGAAGAGATTGGGCTCAATTATGACCCCTTTGACTGCAAATTTAACTTCCTTTGTGGGGCATTGAAAATGCAAAGAAAATTCTATCTCTCCAATGTAACCTTTGTTTGTCTTGAATTCACCTATAGGGAATTTAATCCATTTTTTCCTCGGTTTGCTATTTAACTCATGCCTGTGCTCCTGAAATTTGCGATCAGGAAGACGAAGTAGACAACGGACAGACACCTTCTCTTCTGATTCCGAGTTGTCATCAAACATGAACATATAAGTGAAGGTATATGTTACATTTGGAGAGAGGTACTCGGCGCTGAATCTTCCAACCACAAGAAACGGAGTTATAGGAGATACAATTTTCATAGCTTTAATTAATGCACCATCACTGCAGCAAAAGAGCAATAGACTTAAAAGTAGAAACATCTCATCATAAGGCGTAATTTTCGTTCAAATCAGCCTTATAGCGAATAGTGTTTGAGCAGGAAGAACAAATTCCTTTATACGTACCTGTCTTTGGTTTCAGTCAGTTTCCTGCTGTACTCGGAACCCCACAATGGTAAACCATCACAATCAATATTCATTGTTAGGTTGAGGTCTGTCATATACACCATGAAGCAATTATAATGGCTGTCCTCCCGCTTCACGACCCAGAACTTCTGTAATAACAGGAACTAACTAAATCAAACGAAACAGACAGATGATTCGAAAATTTGATCCAGCATTTTAGAGGGGAAACATATGGAAATTTTGGGAGTTGAACATTTATATTATTCAGAATTATAGATGAGCTTGCCTTTGTTCTGTTGTTCAGAAAAATCCCAGCAGTAAGCTGCTCATAGAGTTTGTGGATGGAAGACATGTCAACTGGATCATCACACTGTTCAATTATGGCTTCATAATTATGAGGCAGCCTCAGCCTTTTTTGCGACCACCCATGCACCCTAGCCTCTTCACCAAATTTTTTGGGCACGCCGAAATACTCTAGTTGTTGGAGGGTGGTGACAAACACCAACCCTTGTGGAAAGTGTAAACTTTGACAATTTAAAATCTCAAGTTTCTTTAGGCTTGACATCGCTCCCTTCTTGATAGTCCACATGGCCAAATTCTGAAGGTTCTCAAGGTAGAGCTCCTCGAGCTGAAGAAAGGAACCAAAGTTGCAAGTGAATGTTGTTCCCATGTAAGAATTTGATAACCTTAGGAGCTTCAGGTGGGCTAACGCTCCAGCAACTACCATAATATCCTCGTTCTCTAGAATACTATCCTTCAATTCCAGTATTAAAAGATTAGGCGGCAATATGAGAGACAGCTTCTCCACATTTATCTGTCCAACCAATACCAGTTTATGAATGTGTTGATTCTGAGATATGGCGTGATTTACATATTTCAAGGCCACATCAACACTCCATTCACAGTGGAATGTATGGAGATGATTGGAAAATATGCTAGGGGAATCAAAGACAGCCTCCAAATTCTTTTCAGTGGATACAATTACCTTTAGCTTACTTATAGTTGTGCTTAGTTCAAGCATCTCTCTTGAAAACCAATCACCCCCTCCACATTTCACACCCCAGAGTATTTGCAAGTTTCTGAGAGCACTCAACTTTAATTCTTCACGAGTCCAAGGGCAATCATCTGGCAAAAATAGATGCCTTAGTAGCACAAGCTTGCACAAGACATTAGGAAGTTCGACGTTTTTATCAGAGCAGTCAACATTCCTGTAGTCCAAAGTCAATAGATTTCTTAACTTCCCAATTGATGTGGGGAACTCTGTGACATTAGAAGCCCGAATTCCCAGATACCTCAAGTGTATTAAGTTTCCTATTTCTGAAGGCAAACCTCCTGTGGTAGTTTTAATGCCCCAAAGATTTAACAGTCTAAGCAGTTTGAACTTATGATGGATAATCTTAAAGTTAAATGACTCTTTGGATTCATAGGCAGAATGTGTAACACTAGATCTTGTCAATATTACAAGTGACCTCAATTTTGAAGCTTGTTTAGGAATGGACATGCTGCATGGAAAGAAGGGAAAAAGAGCAAATTAAGTACGCATATATGTCACATTATACTCATTATTCCCTTGTTCCACATTAAAGTGTATGTGTATGTCACTTTTGGTTATAACCCTTAGAGGTCATTTTAAGAATATACTCGTATATACTTATTAATTTAAAACATTTTTGCGAACAGGCATCTTGCTATTATGGCACAATGCATCAAATCCTATAAATAGAAAGAGAAACAGAGGAAAACGAAAATAATTAGATTAATTTACTTAATATGAAGAATGGTCCATTGGAACGCAGGGAGTAGACATTGGACATTTGGACATACCACATACTAAATCATTTCTATTACCTGGAATGAAGAGAAGCCCTTCTTGACTGAAATGCTACTGGAGATTCATCACTGGAAGGTAGATTTTTTACTTGAAGAAAACCTTGTTCTTGGGCCTTCTTGATACAAAGTACGCGCAATAGATCATGCAAGTGAATTGCTTTAATTTCTCCCTTCATATTGGTCCGCACTACTTGAATCATGAACCGGTGACTCAGTTCTTCTATATACTGCATTGCCACATCTTCAGGGGACATGGCATCATTTGCAGTGATAAAACCCTCAGCTATCCACATTCTGATTAGCATTCCAGCCGGAATTTGACAATCTTCCGAAAAAACACCCAAATAAAGAAAGCAAGGCTTAAGGTCACAAGGTAGATCATCAAAGCTGAGGGCGAGCATTTCTCCTACTTTACCATACTGATGTGTGCATGTGCCTTCCATCACCCTTGACCTTACAGCCTTACTTACCTGTTGCCATTCGTAAATGTTTGTTTTTGTGTTCAAGATACCAGCTAATGCTACTATAGCCAAGGGAAGTCCGTCGCATTTCTTTAGCATTTCCTGGCCTAGATCCTTGTAAGTTTTATCATTGCAATTTGTATGGTGATTGGAAGTGATCTTGCAGAACAGTTCCCAACTTTCTTCCTTGCTCAGAGGCATGGGCTTATGTACATATAAGTGCCTCTGTAGGTTCTGAAATTGAAGAACAACTTCTTCGTTTCGAGTGGTAATAATAATTTTGCTTCCTTTGTTACTGCTCACCCGTGGGAATGCAGGGAGTATGTCCACTAGAACCTCCTTCCTCCCCACATCATCCAAGACTACCAAATACAGTTTCTTTTCCAGGATGCTTCGGAGCTTGTCCACTAGCGCATTCATGCTTGATTCGGCATTCAAATTGCACACCTCTGTTGGGCTACTAACTTTTCTCAAGATTTCAGATAGAATGTGCCTGGTGCTCCATGTTTCAGAAATATAAACCCATGCAAAACAATCAAAGCAATCTTTAGTAAATGGGTGGTTGTAGAGCTTCCTAGCAAGGGTGGTTTTCCCCGAGCCACCCATCCCCACAATCGAAACAAATTTTACTTGAGTCTTCCCTTCTCCCATCAATACTTGTACCAACATTTTGATGTCTTTGTCTAACCCAACAATCAAGTCACCGCCATCATCATCATCATCATAGGGATAATTTCGAGGCTTTTTCTTTGAATATCTTTCGCGGCTACTGGATGATGTTAAGTCTTCACCTGCCTTGGCGATTCTTCTCACCCCAGAATCAATTAAGATATCACTTATTCGCTTCACTTTACCCTGCCTCGACTGTATCTTCCTTCCTATACAGTAGGCTTGAGGTGCAGTACGTAGGAAGCACAAGTATTTTAGAAAGCAGCCCTTCTTGCCACACACATTAGCCTTTGCTTCAAATTTAAGAATGTAAGTATCAATGATATCCTCAACATCATAAGCTAGTTTTCTAATTTGATTGATCACAGTGCTAATATCATTTATATCTGCATTCGCATCAGCATTTTGGAGAAACTGTTGCATAAGTTCAAGGTCTTCTTTGAGGCCTCTTACTTGGTCTTTCACATCGAGTAACATCCTTCCTTCTTGGTCTAGCAAGGAGCCAATCCATTTTATTGTTGATGCTATAAGAGATGCCTCCATTTTGCAGCTAGTCCAATATGTACCCTTGTCAAGATGATTAATTAAGTTAGCATATTGTTACATCTTATTCAAAGCACACCTAACACCTTAACCTGAATTTCACTTATTTCAAGAAAATAAAAAGGATCCTATTCCTATAAAAATAATACCTAGTGAGGGGTGGTAATAAAGGATAGGAATTGGGAGATGGATCAATAAAAATGAAAAATGAAATTATCGTAGAGGTATGTAAGACTATACCCGTTGCCCAGTCTGAAAAATGTCTAGTTTGGCTGACCTAACCAAATTTTTCAATATACTACCTCCGTTAACTTTTAGTTGCAATTAAAGAATTTTTTATATCTCACAAATAATACCTAAAAGTTGCAACTAAAAGTTAACGAAGGTAGTATATAATTTATTTATTTTCCCATTTTTACTAGACTTAAATTAAAATTTTAGATATAATTTTGGCCTAAAAATGATCTGAAAAACCTGCTATTCCGGCCTAAAATAGCAGATCATTTTTGGCCCGAACTTGGGCCTAGCATGGCCTGAAGGGTCATCTTTTTTCAATTAAGTCTGGATCAGCCCATGATCACCTCTATAGCCTTCCCCTAGAACAATATCATCATGAAAAGGAATGACAAAAAATGTTAGGCATTTAATTCTTACATTTTTTTTAAAGGTATTTTAGTTCTTACTTGGTAATTGTTATGCCTCTAAAAAAAGTTTGAGATAACTCTTATTAATACTTGAATAATGTTTGAACAATTATATTTCTAAAATGTTTATTTACTTATTTATCCTCATTATAGTTAATTGACTCTAAAAAAAGTATGCGGACCTTTATACTTTAAAAATATTTGCTTACATATTTCCTCTTATTAATGCTACAAACTATTAAAGTTGTAGCATATAAGAATAATAAGATTAAATCGAAAAAGTTTCAAGGTCATGGCTAACTATGGCGCATGTTAGCTAGAAAAAGTACATAGTATACTTGTAAACTTAATTATACAAGGTCATTACTCATTGAAATATTTATATGAATCTTTAGAACTCAAAAGTAATCCTCATCCCCCAATGTCAATTCCACACTTTAATCCTCAAAATACCATTCCTACATAGCAATAGTCCTTTTAACTCTATCTACAATGATCTTCAAATTATCCAGCAAGATTGAAATTCGATCGATATCATTAGATATTTATTTACACATTTGATTATAAATTCAGATCATTAAAACCAATATTCAGTCAGAAACAAGTAATATAATAGAAGAAATTTTTTACCTGATTTAACAACGAACTCGAAGAGACAAAGCAAGGAAGAATCCACCAAAATTTGAAGAGCCCAAGTTGTCAAATGCTCTAGTTTGAAATATAAGTTCTCAAAATTCGATTAACTCAAGGAATAAGAAGGTAAAATTGTTTGAATTTCAATATAATTGGATGGTTTGAACTTTGAAGTACAGTATATCACATCATTTTTTTTTTTTAATGAGTAGAATTATTAGAAAGAAAAGAGGAGAAATTTACAAGAGAGAATACCAATTACCAACACCGAAGTGTTAGATGATAGTGGATGAATTTTTTATTTTTATTTTTATTTTTTAAGCTTGAGAAGGATGATTCTCACTAGCCTTTATAGTTTTAATATATGGGCATTGTGTAAGTATAACAACGGAGTTACTCAATTTAATTTAATTTTTTTTTTTTAAATTTACGTTATTTTTTAAGAGAGTTATAAGAGTGGGGCCCTGGGGCTGAGGATCCAACAATTAGGATTGTTATTATTATCTACAAGCTACGAGACACACGCTACGCGTGTACACTATAGAAAATTTATTAATTTACTCATAATATTGTTGTTGTGGATTTTTTCGAAAATCAATACTTACATAACTTTAAATTTAAGAACGAAAAAAAAAATTTGTCAATAGGACATCTACTCCACTTCGTGTACCTCAGTTAATCTTAAAAATATTGTTGATCGTTGAGTTTTTATATAAAATATTGAAAATTATAGAGTAAAAATCTACGGTAACAGTACGTATATAGAAAATTAGATAGATATATAATTTTTCCTTTTATTTTTTAAATAAATTTTAAGGTTTTTTATTCTTTGTAACTTAGATTTTTTTGAGGGAACTATATTCCTTTTTTTTTTAATAAAATCATGATATAGTTATCTTTTAACAAAGTTTAACGTGGTTTTTTTCAATTAAAAAAAAAAGTAAATGGGGTTTGTGGTTAGTTACATTTTTTTTATTTATAAAATGTAGATAATTTTTGTTTGTTTTTAGTGATAATAATTCTGGTGAGTGGGTAGTTAGTTTTTAGGTTTTTTTTTTTTTTTATTTGAAAGAATAGATTTTTTTTTGAGCAGTTATGAATGAATTTTTTTCATTTTTTTTAAAAAATATTAATTAATAAATAAGTAGTTTTGTAAATTGAGAAGGGCATTTTGGGAAAAGAAAAATTTATCACCCAAAAAACCCTTTCTCTTTATATAGTAGTACAGATTTTTTTTTTTTTTTTGAGGGAATCAGGATTGTTATTTAATGCTACATAAATACTCTATCACAAAAAACACGTAATTGATTATAGTTTACTCTGTATTACATACGGAGTACTCCCTTCGTCCCCTAAATTACATTCCTCTTTCTAGCATTTATTCTTCACATAATAGAGAGAAAGAGGAATGTAATTTAAGGACGGAGGGAGTAGCATTTTTTATACAGAATACATAGCCCATAGGGCTACATATAAGCATTAAATTAACGCTTGAAAATCGTAAAAAGTTTAGAAATCATAAAATTATAAACACTAATTACACTGATTTACGCGTGTTTTTGTCATGAATTTCTAATTTTATACAATTTCCAAGAGCGAATTTAATGTTTATATATAGCCGTTAGGGCTACATATAGCATTACCCCTTTTTTTTTCAATTACAGTGCATTATTTTTATCCAAATTATTGTTGTGTAATTATCAAGTCAACAGCATTATCAAAAAAAAAAAAAAGTCAACAGCATTATCAATCAACCCACCTAATATTAGTACTATGCAAAATACTCCATGAAATTACGGGGAAAATGTTTTCCTTGTTTTTCTAAAGGGAAGATTGCCTATGATTTTTTTTAGGCGCATAGCACCTATATGATTTAGAAACAAATAAGATGATAAAATGTACCACTATATATATAATTAGGTTAAGTCCCGTGCCATGCACGGTTATAATTAAATTTTACAACAAAAATTATAAAGAATGATTTTATTTATTTATTATTTTTATTTTTGAGGGGAATAAAGAATGGTTGTTAATTTAACAATTTATCCAAAAAAAATATTTGTCACAAAATAACTTGAATTTTAATTTATACCAAATGCGTAAAGGTTATTGTTTTGAATTTTATAAAAAATAATTTATTAATAGAAATTTAGAAGCTATTAGGTTTTATATAAGAAAACGAAAATATAAGTTTTTTTTTTTTTTATAAAACGAAAATATAAGCTTAAGTTAGTACCCGTATATGTCTTCAAAAAAAAAAGGGAAAACAAAAAATAAAAGGTTAGTACCCGTATACGAACTCATATACATTTGTCCTTATATTTTTGTTGACACACTTTGACCGGCATTAAATGAAAATTTAGTTGATTTATATTACTTTAGGATAATTAGTATTCCATAATCAACTTTTTTAAAATGTATTTATAGTGAGTAGTAGCGGTTTTTATTTTAATTTAAATAATCACATTGCATAACGATTAATGTCAAATGATTAATGTTGGAGCTTGGAGGAAAAAATTTATACTCCTTAATATTATAATAATCTTGGACAATGATATATTTAATACCTTATTTTTAATCTATGTTTGTATACTTGTAACTAAAAGAATAAAGTATATAGAATATATGTTAAAAAAAATATTAATTGGTATGATTAGATTAGATATGTTGTCAAAATAGAAATAAGTATTATTGTAGCTTATAAAATGGAAGTCATTTAAATTTGGTAAAAAAAAAAAAGGAAAGTTCAAAAATGAGGGAAAATTATTAATGACATCGCGACAAATGTCATCTTAGATTCGCTTTTAGTATAGGTTAATTGATAGGTGATAGGTGGTAGGTAGAGCTATCAATTTGGGTAAACGGGTTGGGTTAGAGTGAGTCGGGTCAATTCAGATTAATTCCATAACCTATGCGGGTTGGGTTTGGGTTGGGTCATGCTTGAGTCGGGTAATACTTCTTATCAGGTTTGGGTCGGGTTACATTCGGGTCGGGTGAATAGTAGGTCGGGTTTAATTCAGGTTTTCACGGGTTAAAACGGGTTAGGGTAATTCTCGGGTTCGAGCCAAGCCAGGTTCGGTTCAAGTCAATAATTTGCGGGTTATAATCAGCCCGGGTCATTTCCAAGTCGGGTCATTCTCGGATTCAAGTCGGGTTATGTTCAAGTCAATAATTTGCAGGTTACAATCAGATAGGGTCATTTCTAAGTCAGGTCATATTCGGGTTCAACTAACTATAAATAGATAATTATCATTTTTATCAAACTAATTATTTCCTTTGACTATAATATATATGGCAATATACTAGTGAACTATAGTCTACAATTTAGGAAGATAATTATCTCATTTAACCATCAACAAATATATATTATATTTAACTCATAAATTTGAGGATGATGCTCCTTTCCTTTGCGGGCCTAGACCGACTTGGTCTCCCAAAACAAAATGTTTTGATCAACAATAATGAGGTGGTCTAAATTGCATTTAAGGTGATTTGAAATCAGGTCAGAAACAATTTGGCTTGAATTTAGGTTGGGTCAATAACAAGTCGTGTAAATTTCGAGTCGGGTTAGTAACAAATCGGGTTGAATTTTTGGGTTGGGAAAATAATACGTATGGAAAAATTCGGGTCGGATTGAATTTGGGTCAGGTCAATAAC